AAGCAGTGAGTAATCGACTTTAACAGATCGTTTGAGGAAAAAACATGACTTTATTTGGCCTAATTTTACACCCACAACATATACACACAGAACTTGATCTATCATGTCATCATCGTCGCCGTCCCCAAGTCCAGACGGAACCAACTCGACCGCAATTCAGCTTTCACATCTTCTCAGTCTCCAAGGCAAAGAGCTTCCTTCCCAATCTCTGGAAATCTGTATGTAAAGCGCTTTGCATCCTAAAAGCCATATTTAACTTTTTGTTTGGCCCTGGACCCCGGCTATTTTCCCTTACAAAAAGAAAACCGCAAGGACAGTTATGTATTTAAAACACAATAAGGTATGTGATTGCCTGTTGTGATGCGAGCGAACATGCAATTTCTCTTGTTTGGAAAACACCCATCAGACATTGTTTACGGACGTCTTGTTGTATGTCATGACCTTATCAGGAACATAGGGACAGCATGAGACATAAACACAGAACAGGAAGGAATGACAGACATTGAGCTTTCAGACACACTCACGTCCAGTAGGAGAAGAAATCTTTCATGTTGTCAGCGTGTGATTGTTAACAGAACAGGATTGCTCTGTTGGAGTTAAGGAAGACAGAGGAATTTTGTGCACCTAATTAAGCCGCAGGCGTTATATGTGAGGTGTGCAGGAGAGAAAATGTGAAAGTTTGAGAACCGAGAGTAGTCGGCGGAGGCAAATACTCTCGCTGCGTTATCGGAGTGAAATACATTTTGTATAGGCCAGGGTCAGCTACAGTGGACACTTCTACGCAGACATTACAATGATACTATTTTATTTCTTGAAGAATACTCAAGAAAATCCAGGCACCGTGATTTGAGTAATGGTGTCCAGGTGCGTCTGCAGAGGAGAAAAAGTATTTGCTACTGCCACAAAGACCAAAGGGCTCCAAATCCCCATTTGCGTTGTTTTTGACTTGAATGAAATGGATGCCACAAAGAGCGCACTTATTTTGTATTTGCAGTGCGAAGCCGAAGTTGAGGGATCGATGATCTTTGTCGCTGCAATTAATTAGTTGACTTCTAAACCGCGTTGGTCCGGTGCCCTCCAAGAATTGGTTTGAGTGCGGTAAAGGTATTAAGAAATGTTTGAAATGGTCAACTATGTGCCAGAACTCGGTGAGACTCGTTACTGACGGGTACATCCTATTTTCTCTTTAAATGGAGGACGCTACAATGTGAGATTGGCGATGAAATATACATATATATAAATGATAATAAAACTACAGGACAGATACACCATAGAATACACTGGCTTTTGTTTTCAAGAGAGACATGATCAAGCTACTGATGCAAAATGTAATAACTGTGTTAGCTAACCCAACACAGAATGCAACTAACTAGCTTAACCACTGACGCTCTAGAAGGTGTGATTGCAGAATGATTAACGAGTAGAGATGAATCGCCCGAAAAAAGCCAGCAGATTTGGCAAGATTATAACTGCCGAAAATTAAATCTATCAAGTTGTAGAATCAATTGTCTAAGAATTAACTAAAACTAACACCCTAACCAGGCTTGTTCTCATCAGAGTCAAAGTCACTTAGTATAGCACAACAGGCTGGTAACCAGAGAGAAGTGATGAAAGTGAAAGTAGATACGTAAGTAACTGCTCTTCCCAAATTGTATCCAGTTTTTCCAACCAATCAGATACACAATACACTTTGCATCAAACAAAGGAACAGAATAAAATACTTTTTAAGTTATTTTTTAGATTTTGGGATGAAGCACCAATGAACTAATGGAAAACATTTGTAATAATACACAATGTATTACAACAATACGAATGTCGGGTTCAAGATCTTCCTTACAAACCCCACTCTTGCTGCTGGCATCAGTTTCTCTCAGGACTCAGGGAGGAACCACAGTGATGACCACATGCTGTTATGCACCCCACACTTTCAAACAGAGGGGATTGAAGGTGGGATTACAGTTGCTGGGAAGGTGTACCGGAGGAGGCCTGGGCAACACAAACAGAGAGTGGATACAGGAGCCTTGCTTCCTGTCGTTTTGGTTAGGTTTCAGCAGCAGGTGTTCGCTATCTGAACACACATGGCTGGTCATAGACACACATACACACACACATACAAGAGATGGACACGTGCGTGCTCACCCACCAGGAGGAAAATTCCACCCTGAGATCTTCTTCCACTGCATCATCAGTACTAGATGTTAAGTGCTTTCTTTAAAAGCCTTGCTTTTCATTCAACCCCTTCACTCCTGCCTTACTGTAGTGTCTCTGAATGTGGATCATATTCATGTATAGTGTATTAATTATTAGTGTGTTATCAAGTTACTTATAACATCTCATACTTTTTGAAATAAAAGCACCAAGAAGTGATGGCAGTCACTAGTATTTGTCCACTTCCACATAGCCCAGGGTTTGTTTTTCACTTGACTTGCTCCTTGGAGCACAACTGTGGGAAGCCGGTGAGGGATCATGATCTTGTTGTTGTATTAGTGACTTCTACTTCTTACAAGGAAAGTCTAAGACGAGTACCACCGCAACATCAAGGCATTTCTGATTGTTTTAAAAAAAAATGTACTGACTTTTAAGGCTTTAAATGGCTCTGCCCCCAATTACATCTCAGATTTATTGACATGGTATGTGCTCAACCAAGAATTGAGATATGCATAAGGAAGCCTGCTGGTCACCCCAAGGTTAAGGCTTGTGGCTCAGGGTGACCGGGCATTTACTATTAGAGCCCCAACAGTCCAGAACTCTCCCAGCTGAAATCAGACGCTCTAACTCATGAACTTCTTTTAAATCTCTTATTGAAACACATTTCTTTGTTTCAGGCTTTGGTAATGTTTGATATGTCTTTTATTTATATTGTTTTATCTGGTTTTATTTTTTCTGTGAAGCACTTTGTAACTTTGTTAAGAAAAGTGCTATATAGTATATAAAGTTATTATTATTATTATTATTATCATTATCATTATCATCCCTGGGACCAATTTCAAGTAGCAATTTGTGAGCACTACTTGCACACAGATCACAAATGGGGCCAGTGTCCTGTTTCACACACTTGCAAACTGCAGATTGAATGCAGATTTGAGAGTCTTCTTGCATTGGTCACAAGTATATGTTGTATGTTTTTTGTTTGATCAGTTGAATATGTCAAAATTAGTACAAGAGGAAACATGTTGCTGGTTTGAATCCGACCAGGAACCTTTGCTGCATGTAATCCCCCAACTGTTTTTCCATATTCTTGTCATCTTCTGTAATGTACATTATCAAGTAAAGCCAAAAATGTCCAAAAACAGTCTCAAAAAGTTCTAATTTTCCAGCTTTTAGTATCACTGCTGCCCCCTGACACCACCACTGCAGGACTCATGATCTCTCAGTTGGGTGTGATAATGCTTCAAGGTTCTTGGCTTTGCTCAGTCATAACTTAAAGGTCAATATTGAACAAAGATGGATTGTATAAATGAGTGAGGGTAGACCTTCATGCTTGCCTCTGTTCAGGGTCTCCATATCACATCACTGAGCCTCCGTCTGATTTACATCGGTGCTGACACTGAGCCAATAGCTGCGGATCCAACATCCACCAGAAGAGGGCATTCACACACTGACTCATCAACATTCCTCACTGCGCCTCAACACTGCAACGCCACACATGTATTGCATCGCTGGCAGGCCTCCCTCACACATCAGACTGAGTAATGTATGTGTGTTGGACTATTAGGAATAACACTGGCTGTTGTGCTGTTATCCAATGTCTTACTCAGGGCTTTGCTATGAAAAGCTCCTGTCACTTAAGGGGTGGAAAAGTACAGGTGCCACACAGAGCCTAACTAGATCCTTTACAATAGTCCACACTGGTATTTCTGGCCCGGGCTATTCATAGGGACAAACTGGTTTTCCAACCTTGGAAATAACATTTTTCCACACAGAATCACAAGGCGATTAAATCAAACAAAACCTTTTATAAACAGTTACTCATGTGACAGAGTCGGAGGAAGAATAAGGAGTAGGGAAGAGAGAAACACAATCCAGAGAGAATAGAAAAAAATAGAAAAATAGATTGCAGATTAACTGCAACTCGGATGCCAAAAGCATTTATATATAGTGTGCATAGTAGATGTGCTTGTAAAATGCAGAATTTCAATTTTTAAATCTCTTATCTTCCATAGGAAATAAAACAGTAATGTTACTGTGAACATGCTATTGATTCCAAACATATCAATGAAATGAAATACACATTCCCCTGGTAGGTTCTTCATAATGTTCTAAACAGTGATAATGGGGCCTTTAAATATGAAGTAACGATGCCAAACACTGTCACTTACTCCACGGAAACAGAAAGTGTTTTATTGTATCATGGGAGAGCCTTTGACCTTGCAGCCTATATCATGGACTATCTGCCCCGACACAACAACACAGCACAGTAACCCTGGTGTGATTTGTGACACAGGGTACAGGCTATGATTCAGTAGCACAACACAAAGTGAATGCTGAAACTATCATAAAGTGAATAAGGATGAGCCTCTATCAAAAAAGAAAAAAGGTGAATGCTTTAATAATGCTAATGTCACACTTTTGTTCACTTGTAACTTCTGTGTAATTAAACAATGCTAAACGCCATTGAAAAAAATATAGAAATTTGGGGGAAATAACTCCACCTGAGGCTATATACCACATGCTGGCATACATTAACAAAATCATTGTAACGTCTGCAAGCTACTGACGTGTTCAATACATGATAATAATATCGAACGACCACATTATAGCCAATTATCTTGAAAAAATTGATATAAAATTGCATATTAATCACAAGCAAAGTGGTAGTTAAAGCTACAAGTAGCTGCGACTGGCGCATCAATATTTAAATAAACTGTAATGCGGCTCCAGGTGCGTTTATCTTAAATGCTCGGAGTAGCCAATCAGAGGAGAGGAGCGGGTTTTCATGTGTAATAAAGTAGCAGTCTAATAGTAGCCTAAAGGTCTCGGTGTTAAGCAGTGGGTCCTACCTGTTGCTGTCGGGGCGCTCCTCGACCGGTAGAGCCTGAAGCTGCTGGAGGGAAACCAGGCTGATGCAATACACAGTAAGCGGGAGAAGGCACCGCATCTCTGGTCCAACTTCAACTTTACACCCTCTCCGGAAAGGAGTGGGCGACCACAGGGACTGGGTGAAGGTTAATTCACGAGAGTGGGGAGGGATTTTTTTTTTTTTTTTTAATAATATGTGAAAAAAGAGAGAAAATGCCGCCAAAAAGGCTGAAGCTGGGCTCAGATATCCAAGAAAGTTTAAGTGAAACCTTTGGGGGAAAGCAGAAAATAAATGATCAATTAACCTGTTGCTCATAACCTAGTGTAACAGAAAACAGAGCCGGTGAGTGCATCTCATTATTATCAGCATAGTCCCATTTCATTCATTTAGAGCTTTAAGATAAAGAGAACCTTTTAAAACACACTGTCTGCACTAAAAAGAAGTGAATCCTTCATCAAAAGTCCCATTAAACTCATGCACCAGATGAAAACTACATTACTATTAAAATGTCCAACAGTGCATCTTAAATCTATCATGCAAATTTGTAAACAGTTACACATAAGCAACATAAGAAACATGCTCATGATGTCAGTAAAGAAAAGTCTTACCCTTTTAGGATTTATGACTCTGACTGGGTTTAGCTGTTGAGTTTTTTTTTTTTCCCACGAATCTGAACGTGTTGGTCAAGATCAAGTTCTCCAGTGAGAAGCTGTGTGCCGGGTGACATTGTGGGTTTAAATAGTGAGTGGGCGGAGTTCAGTGCCGGTGGGCAATTTCACAGGCAAAGGTGCAGTAAAACCCTCTTGTTTCTCATGCTCGGGAATCTCCTGCTTTGATGTGTGTGTGTATGTGTGTGTATGTGTGTGTGCTGTGTGGGGGGCGTGGGGGGGGAGTCATAAAACCAAGTTTGAAGACAGTTGACTGTGGGAAGTCCAGTCGCTCGGGGGGGGGGGCAACAACAACAAAACAGCCATAAAAGTGAAACTGAAAGGGATAGATAATGTTTCAGGCAGACAGGTCACAAACATCCAGGAGTATAAATTTGCTATTTTAGAAAAATGCTATGCAGAACACTGTAACAGGGAAGCTTAAAATGCCAATAAAGTACATGAAGTTTGGTTAACTTTACTATTAACTGAACATTGAGCATAACACGTTCACAGGACTATTAAAGGACTATTGTAGTGACTTCATACATAACACTGTAAACTTACTAATGAATAGTGCAGCACCACAGGTCTATGGAAGTATTATAGATGTATGGCAGTGATACCATATGAGCTTTAAAATAGCCTACATTAAACATCACTGTAAAGTAACAACTGCGCACCACAGATTTACCACAATAAAAGTCCCTATAGCTCTGGATGGCAAGGATATCATAAAATGAGTACTACTCTGCACCAAGTATGCTATCACCATCAAACATGTGCATACTCAGGAAAATGACCCACATTTTCAAGAATTTCTCAAGCAGTTTGTCTTCCAGACCAAACCCCCCTTCGTATCTCTTATCACCATTGTCAGCCATGTGTTTAAGATAGATAGAAAGAGATGCAGGAATCAGCACAGAATCCCCAGAACTTTGCTGGTAAGTCACGCCTACAGTTTCATCATGATGCATCATTGATCATTGATCCCGGCGCTGCGATGTTTCCTTCACGTGGTTTGTTGCTGTTGTTGCCGCTTTCTCAGAAGCCGCATGTGGCAATAAGACAATTATTTGCATGATTTATCAGGGAGCTGTAAAACAGAGGTGCAGAAATTGTTCTGATCACTTTCAGATGTCTTTTAAATCTGTTATAATAGATAAAGGGCAGACAGGTCTAAACACGTATCTTACTACTCTGTTTCATGACTCAGATTAATCCTGCTGCATGTTTCAGCCTATTAGTGAGGATTTTTGTACTGACTCCAAGTCCCCTCCTTCCTTTTGATTTGACTGATGCACAGACTCACGACTCACACATACACCTGATGTACGATCAAGGTTACATAACATTCATTTCTCAGAAATGAAGTCAAGCGGGTTGTCACCAGTGGAGTGGACGCCTTTCCTGGTATCAGAAAGAAGCTGCGCATCCATGTAAGAGAGGAACAGCAGCAGAGGCCGGACAAGCAAAACAGCGTCTCCATGAGGGATTTAAGGATGTCATGTTTGTTGTTCGTCTTTTGGCCGATGCAGAAATCATCTCGGGGTCATGACTTCTTCATCTAAATAAACATCAGTATCCCTTCCACAGCAAACTGCACTTGTAGTATATGTAAAGGCATGACTTTCAGTTTAGGATACACAGAAACAGCTCCAGTTGCTTCATTTTTCGATGTATTCCATCACATTCAAGTCACAGAGCTATACGCATCCAATTCACTGAAAATGAATAAACTTGTTCTGAAGGTGTTTCTCAAATCCTCAAAGACTCTTCTAACCCTCTGGATATAAAAATGATGTGTCTGTTATGCAATAAATAAATAAAAATATTGCTCTTGTACAACACAAGCAACAACAAAAAAAAAAACATATCAACATATATCAACATAAACCAATACAGCTGATGATAAAAAGTTGTTAAAAAAATTTTGGATTAGGAAATACAGTAACCTCAACTTTGTTATCAGTTATATTGGTTTATGTTGAAAAAACAGCCACAGCTGGGAAACAGCAAAAAGAAAAAAAAAAGATTGATAGAAGAGTTTTTTGCGGTTTTTGGAGGATGCCTTCAGAGCACATTTTGTCAAATCAATTTTTAATTTTCAGAAAAGTTTTATCTTCTGCCTGTGCATTATGTCACATGCAAGATTCATACTGTAGATTCAAATACAGTTACATACGGTAAATTACTGACAAAAGTTTGACCAGTATTGTCTTGCAAACTTACAAGAATACAGTAAAGACCAATTATCATTATATCTAGTAATACATTTTAGCAAGGAACAGTAAAAAACACAGTACCTTGCAGGCAAAGCTGCTGCCAGTTAATTACTCTAAATCTACTGTGAAAAGTGTCACAGTGTGTGTCATGTCATATTGAAATATTTTGAAATCAATTTTTGAAATCGTTGATTTCAGTAAATGCCAGCTTTTCTATCAGTCCTGAAACTTTGCACCAACAGTCAGCAAGAAGAAATCCATCAAGGCAAAAGGCACAAAGCCCAGTTTCTGAATCTACCGGTTGAGTTTCAAGCTGAGTAGGTAGAGCAAAAAAGAAAAGAAAAAAGGGATTAATCTCCTGGAAAGCAGCAAACCTCACAAATCAATGATAAGTAACAGTGAGAACATAATCTGAAGCACCACGAGCTCCTCACGATTCTGTGTTCTGCACCGCACAGTTATTGCCAACCCAGGATTTAGCTTCACCGTGCTACGTGATCCCTGCCTGGTGTGCGATGTGAAGCGCGGCGTGAGCGATATTCACTCAGACAGATTCGTTACTGATAGTTGCCAACTTCTCACCCTCGCCGATATCGTCTTACAGCTCAGCCCTGCTCAGGCCTTTCTTTGATCCTCTCCATCAGCCTCGAATGTAGTTTAGTTTCGCAGTAGTTATAATGCCATCAGAGCGGGTGACACATCGTGACCTGACAGTGACACACTAATCCAGGTTTGGATGAAATAAAAAGACCCTCTAGTCGCTACTACACAAGCCACTTTGAATCATGTTCCCAATTCATAGCTTTCATTTTTATATTCTTAAAAATGAAACCCTCACATCGGTGTTGCCAGCTGAGTGTGGTTCTGACCTTTGACCTTGGGTTTAGAGCTGATCCACTCATATTGAATATTTCATGTTTATTCTTTTAGTGACCTTCTCCCACACTCCACAGTAGTACCCATTAATTTAGCAGTGGTGGCACAATGAAACATCTCCCAACACAGACAGCTGATAGCGGCTCATTTATCACTCTGACTTGGCTGTGGAAGCAGGTCACTTCCTCACTGATTCTGGTCCGTTTATGTAACAGTTCTCTGCCATGTGACAGCAGCTTCTGAATCTGGCCCGGGCTCTGAACACAGGCTTCCCGCCTGGTTTGATCTCTCGGTCGTGGACTGGCTTTACTTTTGTTTTAGGCGGCAATTAGCGAACATGAGTACATACTCTGTGGAGCCAGTTTTAGAGCCTCCATCTATCAGGCTTTGAAACTCGTCTGAAAAAGGAAAAGTTGGGACGTAGGCAAATGATCAAAGAGCGGAGGGACCTTTATTCTCTGTCTTGTTTTTGTCAATTTGAATCTTTGAATGGGCGAGACTGGGCCACAGCCTGCTTTAAAGGTTGTGTAAACACTACAAATAACCAGTGTTGTCTGGTTAGGCGTGATAAAGGCAAACACTGACCACTGGGAAGCGAACTCTCTTATGTGTTAAAGCTCCATATTTTCCTCTTGTTGTTCCATAAGAAGATATATTTATGGTTTTAAGAACCAAGAACCATCCCAATGTAGTTTTACATCTCCTCTCTCAGGCTTCTCTCTGGAGCTCTGGAAACAACAGATCAGTGAGCCAATCAGAAGAGAGGAGGCTCTGAGCCTCTCTTCTGATTGGCTGACTGTTTGCGGGGTGATCCAATAAAATATAGCGGATTTCAGGTAAACACTCAGAGAAATCAAATCCTGCAAGGTTGGATGGTGGGTCCAGGTGGGCGGGGCTTGGGGCATGCTATAAGGACAGTGACTGTTTTGTTGTGACATCATAAAGTTACAGAAGTCCTGACAGCTGGTTTTAAGGCTCAATTTCTGAATACAGGCTGTGTGCATTTCTCTGTGGACTGAACGCTTTGATACTTTCACAGTATTAATATAGAACCTAGACCTGCTTTATAATCAAACAACATGTTGGTATTGTGAACTTGTGTCTCACCAAGTTTATATTTTTTTCCAGTGTCAGCTTCATTCTTGACATAAGAAACAGTGGTAGAAAGAGCTTTTTAATAAAAACAAATATCTAAACTGCACATCCACTAAATAGCTTTTTCTAAATGGACTGCACTTATTTAGCGCTTTTCTGGTCTTAGAGATCACTCAAAGTCCTTTACGATACTTGCCACAGTCACCCAAACATACATCACACCCTCATGGGACAGCCATCAGAGGCAATTCGGGGTTCAGTATCTTGCTCAAGGACACTTCAACATGTGGACTGGAGGGGCTGGAGATCGAACCACCGACCTTCTGTGCCTCAGGAGGTAGAGCACTCCACTACAGCTCATGGTCTTCCTCAGCAGACTGAGGAATCACCATGCAGGTATGGAATTAGTATGCCACATGATGGCAGCTGGGTATCTCCATGACAACAGAGGAAACTCCACTGACCATAGAGGACCGTAAGATATAGTTGAAAGCTCCCTACGAGCTAGAGAGTGTATCTTGAGTTAAGATTTGAGTTTGGGTGAACCAACCCTTTCATTTTTGCAGTAAACCACGTCAACATGTGTACACATCTGTGCTGTAAGGGTGTTGGGGTGTTGCTGTGAAAAGGCACATGAACAGCTTGACGCTGAAGTGCCCTGGCTCTGAAATCTGGTGGTGTATGATACAAAACAAATTAATCATCATGTGATCTGAAGTGTCTGAGGTGAAGGTATTTCATATACAAACACACTACACCTGCAGGATTTATGGTTCCTCTATGAGCCCGTCTGGTTTCTCTTCCAGCTCATTTATCCAATATCTAAACAACAGCTCTGCATGTTTTTACATCTTGG